TATTCTTCCTGTCTGCTGAAGAAGTTATGATTCCCAGCCGGCCGGCATGCCAGTGTATCAAGTGCATCGAATGCTAAAAAATCCACGATATCAATTCAGTCTCCCAGTGATCGCCGTGAAAGCTTTGCCTGGCTTCTCGCCTCTTCTCGCTCCAAAGTCCCTCCCCTGCAACCATGCTCCTGGAAACCCTACATCGTCTTACACAATTCAGAAATCCCGTGGTATCAAAGTGAGTGTGACATTATCAAATTGCTTCAGTAATACGACTGTTTATCAAACCTATACTTTGCCTATAATTATAGGTATCGTATTCGATCCCTACCTCGTTGCCTCAAATTCCCAAGCAGTTCGTTGGCTAAGGTCCGCTCAATCCAAATACTGCATTCGTAATCACACTGAGCGTCAATCAGAAGTGTCCCTCACCCTGTTTGTCTATCCCCTGAAAGTCTTTCAACGAGCACTTGGGCCGGTTCAAGTGGTTTTGTGAAATAGAAGATTCTTAGACGCCAGGGTTCGAGCACTCGTTCTCTTCTATGCATTGCTGTGGATAACTTCTATCCTCGAGGCATACAGGAGGTTTTTAGGCGCCAGAATGGGAACCTATATATCCTCCCCTTCGAGGTGGTTAATCGTCTTCAACAGTCCAATCCTACGATGGGCGTATCATCTACAGAGCCCTCATCCGACGATACCTTTGGCAGTACAAAGACAGGATCAGTGAAGCAAGATGAGACGTTCTATTTCAACACTGTGGTCTTCCTGGTAGGTTACTTTACTAGTGTGCGCCATTCTCGCTGAAGGTTGTCAGGTGGAAGACACATTATTCCGGGTGCCGCGCCATCCGTTCATAGATGGATCAGATTTGTTTCGACAAATGTTCGAGCTGCCTGTTCCTGACGGCGCTCAGGAAGATGGCTCTAGCGATGAACACCCCCTCCGCCTCGAGCAGATCAAACAAACCGAGTTCAGACAGCTTCTCAAAGTCCTGTTCCCAGAGTGAGCTCAGAACCATTCGATATTCGTTCTATACAGGCTCACCTATCTGAAGTTACACCAGGTCAAAGAAACTGCCCAAATCGTTTGCGGAGTGGAGATCAGTTCTCAGGTTATCCACCATGTGGGGCTTCGACAACGCGAGGGATCAAGCTATCAAGAGCATAGGTGCCATGACTATGGACCCCGTCGACAAGATCTCTTTGGCGAAAGATTACGATGTCGATGAATGGTTGGTGCCGGCGATCCATGATCTGGTGAAGAGAAAAGAGCCTATTGGAGTGAAAGACGTTGAAAAACTGGGACTGGACCTCGCACTGAAAGTTGCGGCGATCCGAGAAAGACTTACTACAACCCACTCATCATATCCGCTGCAGATTGGAGACAGACAAGTATCCCACCTTGACTTCACCGCGTCGATACAAACTATGTTGGGTCCTACAATTGTGAACGCGAATGTGTAGACACATACTAACTTTTTAGGAGTTAAACACAACTGTCCCCCTTTACGTTAAAGCTGAAATGTACATTTCCTTACAATAACGCGCAACCCTCGATCCTGCCAAACATGATGCATGAGAGACGATTGGAGGTTATGATAGTTTTTCTTGAGGGTTAAATCACGTGTCTTTCTATATTTTCCTCAGCTGGGTGAACCTCCAATATTATGAACCTCTGTAAGCATCGCAAGTTCCAACTAGCGTTCCAGTTTATCAAGCGAGAGTGCAACTATATTCTTCAAAATCCACTCATATGTCAGGCTATCTAGTGTCAATTCCATCAATATCTCGCCACCAAATGAGTTTTTATGACGCGGTCACTGCGTCACACGTTTTGCACTTTTGCTGAAGCTTAGACACCCCCTACATACTACTGGTTAGTAGTCTTGAACAATCCAATCCTACGATGGACGTCTCATCTACTACAGAGCGCACATCTGATGGTACGAATGGCCATACAAAAACAGGGCAAGTGAAACAAGATGAAACATTCTATTTCAACACTGTGGTCTTCCTGGTACGTTACTTTGCTAGTGTCTCTGTCTCCAATCTGCAGTGGTTATAATGGGTTAGACGGAGTAAGCCCCCTTCAGAAACAGCACGGGTAACCCGTGGGTGTCCGATGGCCAACCCGCACCCAAAGCTGCGGGTACGGGTACGGGTGCGAGTGTCAACCCGCACGGGTTCTACCCGCGTGTACTCACTATCTGTAGCGCTTCAGCTGTGGTATATTATTTGCTATACGGAGACGGAAGGTGGTGAGGACGGCGCGGGGAGGGCAGGCGTTTGTCTGCGGCTGCTTCAAGCAGCATCTATTCGATGCGCAGTGAGCGGGCGGATTGTGAGTACAAGTGTGTGGGGCAATGCATGATCGTACGCAAGTGCTAAGAATGGGAATGGGAGGAAGTGGTCATGACCATATACGAGACATCTGTCCAGTGATGGAGCACACCCTCGACGCTCCGGGTAATGTAGCGGGCGCCGTGATGCTGGTCCCGCCTGGTCCAGCTTCAGGGTGACTTCCTGCGAATCCGGACAGGCAGTGAACGTTGAACATCAAATTAGTAGTTTCCGATGGCGCAGAGATGGATGGAGCTGATATAGACATACTTAGTCGATGGAATCTCATGGAGGACGCGGTCAAACGAAGCCTCGGATGGAGGTGACACTGGAATCTGTGGTGGAAGTGACACTGGAATCTGTGGTGGAAGGGGTTGCATTCGGGTGCCCAAAGGTATAGTTCTCTTGGCTGCTACTATGGATAGCATCGCTTCCGGAACGCAAATGACTGTCAGACGACAGCATATCCTTTTCCAATCCTGCCATGGATGAATTAGCCTGCGAGCACATAGACTGAACTACTAGCTCTAGCGAGCGAGGATCTCGATGGTGCCGATACTCTAAATGAGCGACTGTGTCCGCGAGTGCACAGCAGACACGCAACCTAAACGAGACCTGGCGGAATCATCTCGGTACTGCTCGCTGCGGAAGGACGGGGACTCCGGGCTGGATACATACCAATGTATCATATGTGACGACTTCAAGCGTACTCTCTTACAAACATGAATTGAGTGTGATTTATTGTTCACCTCTACATCCCTGGCGCAGATTTTTCTTATATATACCAACATAAACTTTCGCTTTCAGCGTGCACTTGGATCCCAATTCACGGATCACTTTCGAAGGCCAGATTCAAAGGGTTCAAGTCTAGGACCGGCGTAATACAATTTCTGGCGTTCTACCACATAATTCAAGAAGTTATTCGAGTTATTCAAGGCCCATCCGTCGCCGCACAGCTTGAAATGACCCGAAGCAATCAGATCACTCAACTTGTAGAGCGGCTTGGCAGGTCGACATCCCCGCGTCTGTTCATTGTTGATGAGTCCATGCGGCTTCAGTCAGTGGTGGTTGGGTGATGCCATTTCAGGTACCGGTATGAGCTTTGATCAGCGATTCGTCATGACTCACAAGCTCCGTATTCTTCTTTCGAGACGCGATGATATCCGCAGCATTATCCAGCGTCAAACTGCACGATAAAAATATCCAGGACTATGAACATAACCGGAAAGTCATATTCCTTTATAAGATGCCAGCAGATTAGACAGCATCCTCAGATGAAAGC